GCCCCTTCATCCTGGTTGGGTGGTCTATAACAGACTCCCAGCAGGATATCTGCCTCGTTGGCCTTCCCCCTCATCCTTACCCATAAACACTCAACCGTATCATCATCACAGTCGTTGAGCTCTATACAATCAAAACACTCCCTAACATACAGGGCCACCCCACCGCCTCTCCTTCCTCGCCTGTCCCTTAAAATGATCCAATCAATCTGAAAAGCATTAAATACAGAAACATTAGCTGCCACCGCCTCTCCTTCCTCGCCTGTCCCTTAAAATGATCCAATCAATCTGAAAAGCATTAAATACAGAAATACATTAGCTGCATATGCAATTGAACACATCCTCAAATTATGCCTTACTCCTTCCTAAGCTCAGCTATTTCTCTAGCAACGTGTCATGGGCCTTTTACAGAGGGACTTGAACCTCCTACCACAGAAATCCATGACTGAACATTTCAAAAACCATGTGCTGCATACCTAAAAATACCTTTAACAGATCCCAAATCCTAAACCCATCACCTCCACACAGGGGTTTGTGACACAACAAACAAGGAAGATCATCAGTTTATCTGCTGCTGTCAAGTCCCACTATAAACCCAACTTGCTACAACAAACCTCTGCCTCCTATTTTTCTTACTTAGGCCAGTGAGCTCCTGATAGTTAGATCTCTTGGAAGAGTTTAGAAGAGATTCAAAATACTACATGAAGAACAGAATAAATGCAAGGAGTGAGAAAGTTTATTCTTTTCTGAATATGATCACCAAAAGGAATAAGAGTGCTAAAAAGCCTCTCTGAGCAGAGCACTAATTCTGCTATCATGTCTCAAAACACCTAACCTCTAAAGCTGAACAAAGCATAGGAGACAAAATAAATCTACCAGTTAAGGACTGAAGACAACCAAAGTATCAAGCTATATATGGAAACACATAGCAACTGTCACTGAAAGGCAGCAACTTCACTTGCTGTTTTAAGGACTTCTGTTTTCATAACACTCTCCAAAAGCAAGGAGTACCACCACTTTGTGCAGTATCTGGAGTGATGTTTGACAATTTTTTCAAACGTTAGAGTCGCTACAAAAAGTTGCTATTACTCAGACAGATGATCAAGCAGATTTCAAATTAGGTAGTGGATTCTTATCACATTATTTCCTTCACTTAATAAAATTTTCCCCACTAGCATAATTGGGACTGCCATGCTTGTTAGAGCAAGGGAGTGTTTAATAGTAAAAAGTGATTTTTTTAAAGCCCCCAAGCACCTGCTCAGCTAATAACAGGTGCTGGCTCAGCTGGGAGGGGTTAACCATAATACAGCACTTCAGATTTTTTTTTTGTTATGCATATGTTAATCTTGCAGGTAGGAAATGTCAATAAAACAAGGGAAAAAGTGTACATATATTTTTCAGTAATATTTACCAGTCATGCTGCTGTCTCTGTTTATTCCATTATGAAGTTTACAGTGAACAAATGCTGCATCAAATAACCACGATCCAAAGAGGTTCAAGATGCTGTTAACCTTTGGCCTGCGAGGAGCTGGTAGTGGCCGTGGCTCAGAACTTGTCTGGTTTGGGCTAGAGAGTGGAGAAGTAGAGGAGGGTTGGTGCTGCACTTTTGAAGTATGTGCAGTAGTTACCTATTTGAACAGAAGAACAAATCAGCTCCTAGAAGCAAGGAAGTTACTTCCTCCAACCGAGGAAACTATCAAAAGGGTCAGCTCCTTAAATACAGGATATGAAATCTTACAGTGCTGGTTTTCATCGTTGCTTTATTCACAGTCACTGCCCGATGCCTTCGGTTATGGGGTGGAGTGGTGTTGATAGCAGTGTTCTGGGGCATGCTCAGCCTATTTACTGGCGTGGGTGGTGCACTATCCGACCGGGGTCGTGAAATGCCTGTAGATCAAGAAATAAAGCAAGCTTTCAGCAAGAATTCCATAGGCTCATACAAAGCAGCCCAGTTAGTAAGCATTTGGGCCTTCTGTAAATAGGCTAGCTTTCCCCCCTGCCCTCCAAAACAGCAGTAGTAACAAAAACATAGCAGAAATAAAAGAAAAGCAAAAGAAAACCCTGCTTGCATTAGATCAGCAAATGACTAAAAAACACCGAAGAACCTCACACCTTAAGAACGTGGAAAATGGCACGCAGGAGGACCAATTCTAGGAGCAGGCAGAGGGAAAAGGGTAAGGTTCATTTGCCAAAGCCAATTTAAGAGCTTACTCCTGCCAAAATTCAGTTGCCTCTCACCTTTGCCTTTCTTTCCCAACCATACCTCCCACGTCCCGTTCTTGAGACAGCTCTAAGATGTCTGACCCTTCAAAGCCAACTTAGCTCACTAAAGATTAAACCCATCCACCATGCAGTTTTGCACTGTTTTTGCAAGCTGAATGAGCTTGCTGAACAGTCAAATACTAAGTCAGTACAAGAGATGGGGTAAGAAAGCAGAGCAAGCTATAATTTTTCTGGCAGCAGCAGAACATTAGATCAGTCTTTACACAACTTCAGGGAAATACTCGTGGTGTATAAAGCTACTCTTCCTCGTCAGAATCAGAAGCAACTAGCCCTCTGCAAAACCTGAAGTGACAAACACCAATTCTTCCCATTTTAATGAATACCCCCACCCTCACACCCCATTTGAAAAATTAAGTGTGGAATTGCAGTGTGCTCGAAGATTTGACACAGATTTTTTTGCCCATGTTAATTAAAGCACACAAGTACTTTTTGTAACACATCACAGAACAACTAACTCCTGCTAAACCATTAGTGTTACACCCCACACAGAGGGCAGAGTATGCACTATGAAATGTATTGTTTTGGTACACTTTTTTGGAAAAGAGGACGCAGTATTTTGCCAAACACACACATCGTGTAAGTAGTTATCAGGGAGGGCGAGATAAAAACAGTGTGCTTTGGCACTTGGGGTAGAAGGCAATGAGATCTCCCATTAGCAGTAGCTGAAGGGGTCCATACCACAGCTCTAAAGTCTGCCTGAGCACACTCTCACATCCACACCCACAGCTTGAATTTAATTTCACCAAGAGCTCTCCTGTGCCCGAGTGCATCATAGTCTGCAGTCTTTGCCTTTGAACGCCAGGTGGGGTATCATCACCCTAGGTGTTTCATCTTGCTACGTGAGACCTTCAGAAGTCTGAAGTCTCCGATTCAACATCCTATCAAAAGCTCATGTAGACAGCAATGCTTACAGGAGAGTCTGGGCTGCCAGGGGCCCACAGAAGCGCTCCACAGCTGGCCAGTGTGGAGACCTCAACCCCAGATACCACCACACACCCCCACCACTGCACCCAGACAAGGAGTTGTGTATGTGATCACTGTCGCCCCAGTGGGAATAGAGTCTCAGGCAGCCAGATGCAGAACACAAAAAGGACTACCACACATTTAATGGGTTAAGAGTCTCAGATATGAACCCCAGACTATTTTTAAGGTCCAAGAGGAATTCACTACAACAGCTACCCCAGTAGAGGTGCATGCACTCTGCAAAGCTAACCGCTGCTCAGCTTCTTCCTCTGCTTCTACTGCAGGATGCCCCCCTCACGAGTCTGACATTAAAAACCATTTTATTCACTGAAAATTACTAACCACACTCTCACAAAAACCTTGGATATAGTATTTTTTGTCTCAATACATACCATTTAACAGAGCTTTTTCAAAAAAATTTTAATTCAGCTTACACAGCCAGTAAAAAAATACTTCAGAGGAACACCTTCTACCAGTGCTCAGTTGGACCTATTTTTTTTAAATTACTGTTTCAGAGCAGACTGCCAAATTTTCAAAAAACTCTCCCCCCCCCCCCCCCCCAGCCAGTAAAAAAATACTTCAGAGGAACACCTTCTACCAGTGCTCAGTTGGACCTATTTTTTTTAAATTACTGTTTCAGAGCAGACTGCCAAATCCTATTATCATAGGTAGGAAGACAGAGTTTGGCAGAGTAGCAATGTTGTTTTCGTAAGATTGTTTCGTTTGTTTTTCCATATATTGCCTATATACAATCCTCCTTTAACAAATTATGATATTATTTGACAGACTACTGAATATTTTAAATCTCACATCTGGTATTAGTAAAAAGCAATCATTAAAATTCCTTAAAATTGGTGGCAAGACATCTGGAAGAACACAGTGGACACAACAGGTTTCAAGATTCAATATTACAGCTTAAGAAAAATGACCATTTGCTCTTTTACATCACTTAACTTTTTAAACAAAGCTATTTTTATAAAAGTGAAATCTATAGTGACAAAAACTTGTTTGCAGTGGAGAATACAGTACCGGTAAACCTTTTCCTTACAATATTTTTACAGAAACACAGAATATATTTCTAGTAAAAAGGATCTTATAATTCAGTGAGACAGGAGGATCTTGAGGTGCTTTGCTTAAAAGGACTAAAACATTGAGGTTTTTCCAAAAGACAAACAACATGTAAAAGCTGACAGTCTAATTCCACAGCCAAATTTTTCTGAACAGAGTTTACATATCTGCTCAAGTCTTCTGCAGTCTCGCATCAGCTCACACTTCTGGCAGATGACAACATTTGTTGCATAGATTTAAGCAAAAAAGGCAGCTCTTCAGAGTTTACAATAGCACATTATCTCTGAAGAATTTTTAATAAGCCTGAAGCGTACTAAGAATAATGCCTTAGATTTCAGGTACTTTATAGTGTTACTTAAAACCTACCAGCCAGCACTTACATCTACTTTACCTTTTAGTCAAATTTGAGCTACTCAGGTACCAGTAGACACAAAGAAACACAGGTTTTCTTCTCAGCAGTACTAGTAACCCACTAATCATAAACTAAGTGAAACAGGCACTTGTAGTATAAAGATCTGAAGATGGCAGTCAAAATTCAGTACCTTACAAAAACAGGTACTATACACAGCTGTGGCCACAAAGTTTATAAACAAAGTGGTCAGCACTCACAACATGCTAAAAGCATAACACTTGCTTTGTTGATTAGACTAAAAGAGAAAGCAGCCTTGTTTGGGGAAAGAGATAGCTGGTTTTCTTTTGGACTTCAGATTTATTTGTTTTGCATTTGAAACTAAGGCCATCTACAACTTCATACATTCAATTATTATTGTGTATACAGATAGTAATTTAAAAGTGACCTGATCAATTCCAGGATATACTTGCAAATGATAAATTGTTACGGCTATATTTATGGAGAAGACTGAATTTAAAGAGAATAAAATAATGATTAAGTTACTATTCCTAGCTATCCACAGGTAAGACAAAAGCATTACCTAGGAACGCATCCACTAAACAGCTGATCCCACGCATGGCACGAAAGAATATCTGAGGCAGATGTTTAAGGCAGGGGTACTGATTCAGTTCTTGAGTCATCCCACTGACATTCAGAAACTGCTCCTGAAATTTGGGGGTAGAGCTAATAATGGCTGGGTTACTCAAATCCACAGGATTACTGCACACAAAGAGAGCAAAATATATTTTAGTCAGTTTAAGAACAGCTGTTAGGATTTTAAAAATAGTTAAATGTGCAATAGTTTAAGGCACTTAAATAACAACAACACAAAACAGCATCCGATATCAATATACTTTTAGCTGTTACTCCATCACAGGAAGCCAATTTTAACTTCCTGGTTGTCTTCATTTTGAACATTACCCAAATACATGGAATAATTTTATTAAGATCCAATGAACCAGAGCATACACTTGATAGAATAATCCCACGATATTACTTACTTATGAGGTCTTTTGAACTCAGTTTAAGAGGTCCTTACATTGTTAAAATTATTCTCAAAGGGTAAGCAATGAATTAAATATTGCCAACAACCAGTGACAAGAAAGGGACTGAGTTGCTCAAACTTTTACAATTTTTCCTGACTGATACAAATCCTGCAACAGCAGTTCCAGATTAGAAGAGTACAGTACTTGTGACATTACTATCACAAATGAATAAATCAGTTTAAGAGGTCCTTACATTGTTAAAATTATTCTCAAAGGGTAAGCAATGAATTAAATATTGCCAACAACCAGTGACAAGAAAGGGACTGAGTTGCTCAAACTTTTACAATTTTTCCTGACTGATACAAATCCTGCAACAGCAGTTCCAGATTAGAAGAGTACAGTACTTGTGACATTACTATCACAAATGAATAAAAAGAGATTTTTTTTCCTGACTGATACAAATCCTGCAACAGCAGTTCCAGATTAGAAGAGTACAGTACTTGACATTACTACAGATTAGAAGAGTACAGTACTTGTGACATTACTATCACAAATGAATAAAAAGAACAGATTTTTTTTTTTGTTAGTTAGTTAAGTAGTAGATTTTGAACAGTCTAACATTTATCTATCTTTAATTAGTACATAATGTTTGTATAAAAAAGTTATTATTCTGGCCGTTCAGAACATTAATGCCATGCCATTCTCAAGAATCTTTAAAACCAAGCATGCCGCTTGGTTCTGTTGTGCGTTTAAGGAAGAGTAACATGGATGTTAAAATTAACTGTATCTCTTAGAAACAAAGAGATACACCCATTTTAAAAATAACCTTTTGTAGGTTAAATTTAACACCCTAGAGAATAAATGGAAGCAGTATGCATCTCAGAGCTATTGTTCTATTTTTCCTGTTTGCTCTCAGAGAAACAAAATTATATTGAAGTCTTGTTTTTCAGATCCTCCAAAATGCCAAATAGCTAAAATTTTTTTAATTAAGTGAACCAGTTTACATTCTGAAAGAGTCAAAGAGTTCAAAATTGAACAACCCACTCATAGCCTTGCCCTGGACTGCTGCAGGGCACTGGTACAACAAGTCTCTCGCACTTTATTCTATTTAGGTGCTTAATCTTAGCAATCTCCAGAGAAATTTTTCATTTGTCATGCAAATTTATAGAAACGATGCAAGAATATGAACAATGGATGGCTGTAATTACAATACCTCAGCATATGTAAAAAGCGAAACCAAGTTTGTGCAACGCACTCATTATCCATTTCAGGAGGAATCAGACCAGCATCTTCATCGGGAATTTTAAATGGAGGAAATGAAGGTCCATATGTAAAACGCAGCAATCTAGAAAGCAAGTCAGACAGATCTGTCATTCAGTTAATACTCCTCCAAAATTTAACAGTGCATTTGAGCCTTAAAGGTATCAGCAGTCCACAGGTGAGCCCACAAGCAACAACACAACATCCCAAGTTTTCCTAGGGATCCCTATTTTATACAAATATTTAGCTCTTAAAGCTTTGAAGGGTACACGCCTTAGAGCCTGCCCAAAGGTCCAACCAAATCCAAGAGCTGTTAAGACAACACCCCACAGCAGCTCTCCCATCTGCTTAGCCAGGGGGGTTACCGATGAACACAGGCACACACATAACCGACAAGATGTTACGTAAGAAGGGGGGGAAGAAGGAATTTAAGCCCTTATCCTCACAGCTCTTTAGCTAAGTGTCCAATGACACCAGCAAGTCACATTAGGTTACAGGTCTAAACTCCAAGTTACTGATGACTACAATTTACACCAGCACACTGAGCAACGCTCAATGCCATCTGTTGTGGTTTAACCTCAGTCGGCAACTGAGTACCACACAGCTGCTAGCTCACTCCTCCCCCCGCCCTGGTGGGATGGGGAGAAAATTGGAAGAGTAGAAATGAGAAAAACTCATGGGTTGAGATAAACAGTTTAATAACATAACATTAATTAACATTAATAAAATAACAATAATAATAATGTAGTAAATAATAATGTAGTAGTAGTAATAATAATATGTAGTAGTTAATAATAATAATGTAGTAATAATAATAATAATAATAATAATAATAATAATAATGTAGTCATAATAATAATACTGTAGTAGTAATAATACACAAAGCAAGTGATGCACAATGCAATTGCTCACCACCCGCCGACCAATGCCCAG